GCATCGTTGTCAACACTGATGTTGCTGTCTTTGTTGTCGATGATGATGATCGTTAGCATCAACTTTGGACCCGGGGTTCAGCTGGCTTACATGTAGAATTCCTGCCATTAAAGTGCATTCAGACGTCTTGTCGGAAATGCTGGTAGATTATCCCGCTAATTTGCCGTAACTGTGACGCCGAATCCTTCTTGCTGACATTTCCGCGGCTCCTGAGTCCACAGTTCCTCCTCCGCTTTTCCACGTCGGTTTTGGTAGAATGATTCTTACGGCTTCCGTCGCCATATTCCAGACGTCTTTTCCGTACCAGGATGGAACCAACGAGTTGATTCTGTATGCTGGAGGAACTGGGCCAATGCCCCCCCCCACATAATTGGGACAAATTGCTACGAATTTCACGATAGCTCGGATGTGAGTGACACGTGAACCCAGTCTCTCTGGAGTACAAATTTGTCGTAGCTTTGTCTGGCTGCATCACAAACACTTTTGGTGATTCGTATGGTCCTAGTGAACACTGCACATATCAGTATTGTTTTGCGCCTCGGTTAGGCGATAACGGACTGGATGCTGAACGGATACTGTCCGCTTCCGGTTGATGAATTTAATTAGTCTCCTTCGGGAAATGGATTTACCAGACGGAACGTCCCTCACTGTTGTACTCTATTCTCGGTCCCATCAAGTGAGAAACTGACAGAACTTTTGCCTTTTCGGCAGCGGCTGCCCAAGTGCCCGGTACAGAAAGGGTCTGTCAGTGTCGCCTCGACAACGCATTCCTGTAAGCAGACAAACGCAGAAAGCTACCTATTATAGACTAGCAACAGGTATATGGGACTCTACACCGTACAGAAAGGGTCTGTCAGTGTCCCCTTGACAACGCATTCCTGTAAGCAGACACACGCAGAAAGCTAACTATTCTGGACTAGCAACAGGTATATGGGACTCTACACCACCTAAACAAACAACAATCAATCACTGGGCAAACAACTACAATGCCGTGAAACTTTGAACCGTTCTCGAAAACAAATTAAATTTCGCTTATCATTACAGCGCACGTCAAATTGTGTACATGGGGAACGCGCTGCAGAGAAAGCACGCACTAGAAATCATCTTTGATGACAACATACCGAGGCTTGGTATGTGAACTTGACCACGCTACCTGAAGAGAGAATAGCCACAAGGACTGACCGCCACCGTCAATGCGCGGTATTCAGGCAGCAAAAAGGAGAGCACAAACTCAACCGTGGAAGGCACCCCAAGTTTACGTGTCTTAGAACAGTGGTTTACATACCTGTCTTCTATAATGTACGCTGGACGTTTGTGTAGCTTTTTCGTCCACCGGTAGATAGTGTTCCATTAGGGTAGGTTTTCGAAACGTCCACGTCGAAATTCTTACTACTCACGAGTAGTACCGACGAACGTTAAATCATGTATACCTTTCTAATGTACTGCTCATAAGGTTGCTGAAAATCCGTCGACCTTATGAGTAGTACATTAGAAGGACACATGTATCGCGATATCTCGAATATCGTAGCCACTGAAACATGAGGCGGCCTGGTGCAGCACATTCAGTTGCCTGGAAGCATCACAAACGAGAGATTCAGCTGGGTTCCGGGTGAGTCTCTCGAATTAGTTTGCGAATGAGTGTATATTCGCTAACGTTAAATCCTCTCCATGAAACTTAAGTGGGTTCCTCTGCGCACTTAAACGTCTGTTCGAAAAGTGCTCGTTGACTGGCCATAAGCACTCACTAGTGATCTGATCAATAGGAGCCCAAACTAGACCGCTCTCTGATTATGTAACTGTTCGGAAGCTGCAAGCAGTTCGAAATAACAGAAAAGCACGCCGATCGGGCGCGTATGTGGCGAGCCGGCTAGAGACCAAGGTAAGGTGTTGCCTTACCCATCAGTACATGGATCAACCAGAATCGAGCATTCTGACTCGGCGCTTCTCACCCCGGGAAAATTCTAGCCCTTGTGGGAAATTTTGTGACAAGTTTATCAAAACAGTCATAACGTTCAAAGCCTTTTGGTATACCATATAGGGGTGAAACAGCACGCCAAGGACCAACAGAACAGTTGCGATTCAAACCTCCTGCGATGCAGAGCACTACAAATCAATCCACAAACCGAGTTATACACCTTACGCACCCAGCAAAAAGTACTCAGTACCTCGCATACAGACAGCAATGTGTGCGAGACCTCCAAGAAGAAAGACTACCTCCCAAGAGCGCAAAACATTAAGTCCTTGTAAAGTTGTTTTTGTAATCACCATGTCTAGACAAGCCAACCTACTTGCCGTATCACCCGAGTCGGTGAACATTTGTCAACATCTGTGGCACCAGTTTGGTCTTCGAGACGAATAAAGCAAGTAGATCTGTATCTCCGTGGCACTACCGTAAGGTCCGCAATGCTTATATACGCCATGTGTTCCAAGGTGGTCGAAACGACAGCCCACGATGTATGACTCTCAGTTCACACACACTTATCTAGACAAAAAGGGAAAAACTGAACATCGGCGAACTGTTTGGTCGAATTCGAGGCTACTCAATCTCTTGCCACCGTTGTCTTCAGCGAACCAAACTATACGGAGGGGAACCATCCGCCGTACTTTTAAAAAGAGTTATAACTGAATAATTGGACTTTATTTCTCCCCACCTGTTTACTTTCCTTACTTTGAAGTCAAATCATTAAGCCTACAGGAGGAAAACAGTCTACTGTTGGAATCGCAGCACGCCATCCAGTTCAATCACCGGGGAAGTACTAAAAATACCGCTCCAAAGTGTTTGGTCAAAGTACATGGAACGAACTAGGAAGACGTTCGTCTTACGAGCCATATAAAGGGTGTCTCATAATAGACGCAAAAAATAATACCCATGTTAAAATTTCAACACCAATTCAGACACTTATCATTTTTACGTGGACATACATGAAGGTGGCGTTTCATAATACAATACACGCTGGCACCGGTCAACTGAGACACCTGAGTTAGTGACGAAGATGCCATGGTGCTCTGGGACTGAAGTTGCTCGACGGCATTCTGTACAATGGGCGCTCTTTCATCACTCAGAGTCTTTCTCCCTTTGCAAGGAAGATCCAATACAGATCCAGTGGACTCAAATTTCGGCAATAAGCGTGTACTGATCGACACGGTGAAAGGATCTGTGATGAGACCATGTTTGGTTTTGTAATCACGAGGTGCAGCGGTGACTCTTTCACTAAGGGAATAATAGAGTTTCACAATTTTAATGCGCGTACTGACATCCATCGTGAACGGAAAAAAATGCCAACACTTGCGCACAAAACCTCTTTTATGTGTCTACTTATAATGAAAGATTTTGTCATCCTTCCTTCGACTGACTACGTTTACTCACCCAATCAAACATTGCGTCTATTATGAGACACCCTATACATACATATATATATATATATATATATATATATAACTAGCGGTGCCTAGCTGCCATGCCACTTGAAGAGAACACGAGGTCCGTGATGCTCTCACGTTGTCTAAGCCTAGACAAGAACAGTCGAAATAGGCTCGAACCACAGAACTTCCGGTTGCCCTAACAACTGAGCCATCTCGAGCTCAGGCTTGAATATATTCCAGTTTTTTTTTCAAAACTGAGCGAGTAGGGAGTGAGACCACAGACAAGGATCCAGCGCCCTTAGGATCGACATTTGGCTGTCGTGTGTCCTCTTCATCGCCGTCTAGCATAGCCGGTTTTAATGTACAACGGTGAGCGAAAGGGTAGTATTTATTCGACCTGCAAAACAGGTTGCCCGTCTTCGAAACAAACAGGGCTGCGTGTCACGAAATGCAGTGGGCAATGTACATGTGGCTGAAACCAAGAAGTGGATGAGACAGAATTGTCGGACAAAACAATCAATGAGAGCTGTTATTCTTCAACCGGAAATAGAAAAAAGGGGGGAGAATTGGTTACCACGGGGGTGGATACAAATGGGTGTTCTGAGGGACGCATAAGCGTGCCATTGTCCAAAAATTCGGGCGATTGTCGGAAGTGGATATGAGGCCACCTAACAGGGGTGGTCGCAAGTAGGAGGGTAGCAAAGACGGATTGGAGGTTGGCAAAAGTCCGCGCGGATTCACTGGTAGTGTGGGTGGGATGGATAAGAGTGGCTGCTCGCGAAACGTCCGACGTTTTGCGGGTGGTTCCTCGCCATGTTCTGGATCAGTTCGAGAAACGTCCGCGTTTTGCGGGTGGTTCCTCGCCATGTTCTGGATCAGTTCGATTCGGCGTTTCTCGATACTTGCTCAAGTGACGTTCTGTGGTTTTGCTAACTGGCTCTACTGGTTGGGATGAGGAATCTGATAAATGTGAACTGTATGGTTCTGAGCTGAAGCGGAAGGTCCCGTCCCGAGGCGGCCGCAAGCGGTCACGTTCATCGGATTTCGGGTGATACACAGAATATCGGGGCAGGTGCTCTGAACTTGAAGAACTAGTCGGTGAACTACAATGACGGGGATCCGGGATGAGACTGGAAACAGCCGTGAAACCCTCTCGCGAACGTCGACTGCCTGACGAATTGTGACCACCTGAGCTAAACCGCCGATAATCGACATCCCGTGACCCGATAGTATGGGTTCTGACTGGGTTATCACTTGTACGCGAGGAAACATTGGAGTCTGTGTGAGACAGCGTGGCACCGTTTGTTTTCGACTCGCGGAAGTCGGAGGGTAAGGGTAGGAGGCATGGTTTATACGGACCAGAACCAGTCGGCATAAACCGCATGTCTTTATCCCCAGATGACTCAGTTTGGCGCGAAGAAAATTCAAACGACTCTCTTGAACTTCGGGCTTTGGATTTGTTATCTAAACTATGAGCAGTGTTAGTGGAACGGTATGACCGGTGAACACGCGCACCAGAGCAGTGACGGCTAGGGAGTTCCATACTCGACTCATACGGCTCCGAGTCTTTGGGAGACGTGTGTCGACCTTTGGGATAATACGGTCTGTACCCACGAAATGAATTGCGCCTTGGTGGACTGGGCTTTGGAGATCGGGAACACTGAGTGGAGAATGAGGCATCGGTTGACGAAATGTTCCACTCGTCCTCCAGTGTGTACGTGACGCTAGACGCATCGCTTGAAATGTAGCTGTAACTCCCATCTCCATTAGGTCCTTGCGACTGGGTTACACCAGGCTTTCCCCATTCGTTAATTTCATCCACTTCCTCGATTTCATCATCCAAAACTTCCCCTTCCTCACTTTCAGCCGCAGGTTTAGATGAGTTTGTGAAAAACGGATGAGTTTTTGAAATGTCTTCCAGCACGAGCATTGGCCCGGGAGGTAGACCTCCACGAAGTTCATTAAGACTGCTGTTATATTTTGAAACTTCGGATGGTGAGTGATCTTTCCGGCGAAGATCGAAATCCCGGTGTCCCGAGTAGTTGTCTTCAAGTTGACCACGTAACGTTTTACTTCCATCCTCGTAGACGGTGATTGGTTTTGTCAGCCGTTCTCTGGACAAATGGACGACCGGTTCACTTGATGCCAGTGAAGATTGACTGACAGACTTTGGGTGCAACTGAACTTCCGAATCACATCTATGATCACCGTGAAAAACAAGAGTGTGTCCGGTGGTTCCCGCAACATTATCATTGGTTACCTGATCGGAGAGTACAGGATACGACTGTCGTGAGTTCACATTCCCGCGCGAATCGGAGGGTGTCTGGCCCATCGCATCGTTCTTTAAAGTATTTTTCACTGCGAATGATTCAAAAATGGGCGCCCGATCAGATAGGAGATGTTCAACCTGAGTTGGGAAACCAAAAGAACTCCGAGACTCCCGAAACGCGGCGCTTCGATGGGTCGGAGGGTTGAAACGATACTTTAGTGGACTGTCACCGTAGTCCCAAGAACAAGTGGTGATATCCATGTCGCTAGTTTGGCTGATTTCACGGTGCTCTGGTTCGTCTGCCTCAACGTCCATATCCTGGGAATCCGACACAACCTCACTGGCAAATGGCTGTTGTTGCTTACACAGTGACTTGCTGGGAGTGGACGCAGACAGGGGAATTTCCTTTGGTTCCACAGGATGTTTTGATGGATCGTTTTCAACAGGCTGTTCGACTGGACTCGCGGGAGCTGAAGGTGGATCGACGGCAGCTTGTTCTCCCGCTGTGGCTGCCTCCAAAATAGTTGCGGTTTTCTGTGTGTCGTCCGTCAACAGAGGAGTACAGCGTGCTGTCGCTTCCTCAGTCGCACTGGCTTCCACAACAGGGGTGGTGGATCGTTTGAACAACTCCGGGTTCTTTGCGACTGTCGAAAGTAGGACAGATGCAAGGGACTGAGTATCGAAAGATCGGTGACGATTAAGTCGCGGGTCAGTTTGAGGGTTGCATAGTGCCGCTAGCTGACTATTCGTGGAATCCGTACTAGTCGATAGTTGTCCGGGCTGATTGTCCGATTCTTCGGAGCCCCGACGTGATGCAAGCAAGGCGATCAAAGCGGTACCAAGAAGATCTTTGCCGCCGTCGGGTAAACTGGATAACAAGGCATCCAACGGCATCTTTAATTTGGTATCCGTAGGAGGAACGTTGGCTACAATGAGGAAAAAAGACCACGTTAGGAACCGGTCAGTGAGCAAATGACTGAGCAATCGAAAATTACGGACATACCCAGATTTCGTTGGCTAAACACGATATCCGTGGGAACGGGAATCGGTGCGGGGCGAGCGAAAAATTTGGTGCCCGCCGAATCTTTGTCAAGAGACTGGAACATTGCGCAATTTGTTTGCTGGTAGGGGTACTGATCCAAACTATATGGAGTGAGCAAAATCGCATGAAGGTAGTTTGTTTCCAGGCCTTCGGATGGCGGGAAACCTACAATTAGCGTTGAAATATGTACAAAAAGTTAGGCGAGCCAGATGATCAACAGGGGTAGTTGTGAAACAATTGCTTTTTCAAAAAATGAGGGTAGTGTTAGGAGAGGAAGAAGAAGCGAGACGACAGGGTCGAAGCACACGCGCGCTGGAGACGTCGACAGTCAGACTTGACGATGACATTCGGCCTTGAACACCCTATGAACCACTCAGGGTGACGATGTCGATGAGCAGTTCGATGACGAGACATTCGATTGAACGGAACTGTAAATCTGCAAGTCAACATTCCCCCCCCCCACCCCTATTGTGTGGGAGATTAATATCCTGATAAAGAACCGTGTAAAGAAAGGTGTTTCTGCGGGAACTTCACATGCAACGGTCTGTCAAATGAAGAAGGTGTTGCAGCCTTTGTAGTCTTGGCGCAGCCAGACCATCCGACAACTGGTGGGAACGGTTGTGAGAAGAATCTCAGGCGACACCAGCGAACTTGAAACAATCACATTTGGTCGGCCATTTCTTGAGCTCAGATGCCATCTGAATTCCATCAACCACCACGGACACCAGGCCTAATCACACGAAGTAGCGCTATCCAGGAAGCCACATTTTTTCATAACCATTAGTATGAGCAGCGATGTCATCTGCTAAGTGGACAAGGCTGGCGACTTTGTGGGATCATTCCGCTGTCGAGAACAGAGAATACACTGACAGTGTATTGTGGAGCATACACGCGGCCTGCGTATGCAGAGCCTGTACGAAACCTGTCCAGGCGCGATCCACACCGAATAATCGAACATGTCGCGAGCCAAAGAAGCCATGCCCTGATAGGTCAGAATATGGACCAATCAAAACCGAGCACTTTTGGTTCCGTCCTATCGTAAGCATGTGGGGGCTTTTTGTAATGTACTACTCATAAGGTTGCTGAAAATCCGTCGACAGTCCATGACCGGTTTCGCCCTATATGGGGTTCATCAGGTAGGCGCAGTCTCCTGGTTTCCGTTAACCTTATGTACTACTTGAAACTAAATTGCACGGAATCAGCGAATATACACTCATTTGCACACTAATTTGGTTTTTTCGAGAGGCTCACTTGGAACCCAGCTGAGAACATCACAAACGAGAGATTCAACTGGTTTCCAGGTGAGTCTCTCGAAAAAAAAACAAATTAGTTTGCAAATGAGTGTGCATTCGCATGTGGGGAATTCTCTCGTGGCGCTCTGTATATTTCCCTTTGTCCTCAAAAACGGCTTCAAGTAACTGGGTATTTTGATACAAGAGGGGAGGAGAATGGCAGGAGGAATACCAGTAAAGGAGTTGGGAAACACATCGAACTATTCGCCCAACCAAGCCTCTACCACGCGCGATAGAAAGAACGAAACAAGCCCAATTCAAGTGTTTTACATAGTACGATAATTCGCGAGATTCCGGGCCCCCGAGACCCCGTGGACATCCGGATGGGGAGCAGACAATCACGCCGACAGAGAAGTTTTCACTGTAGAAGTATTAATCTCTTCGCATTGATAAAACTACGAACGAAAGCTGCTTTCCTCTGGACCGCCTCTGGTCGGCCCTTCCGAAATATTAAAGCGCGTTAAGAAGGGAAAACTTTTAGCTGTCCATTTTGATGGTTGGTCTCTCCGGTGTCTGCATTCCCATGAGAGGCGGTCCAGTCAGAAAAATGAGTCTTCCAAAAGTTCTCAGTTTTAGTCTGGATCTCGAACTCGAAACAAGTTTGCGTGGCCTCGGCAATTTGTGATCGGGAGAGCGTCCACACAAAGAAGTACAAACCTTTCCCAGTCTGCCTCTTTGTCATTGTAGTTGGCAAAATAGATTCAGAAAAAATCCGCATGCCGGACGATTCTTATTGGCCAACACACCGATTAAGAGTGACGAAATACCACGTTAACAAAGCAGAACGAGGGAACAAGATGGACCGTGTGCGTGTGAAGCCACTCCATGCAGAGTGACGATAAAGGTGAGGCTTGACAAAGCAGACAAACTGCGATTAGTTTTCCCGATGAGTTTGAAACTGTGTTAGATAAATCACCAGAATTTGTGAGGGGGCGCGTATTAGATGGACAGAGTGCTCACTGAGATTGGGTAGTGATTGAAGAGAGGAAAACCGCAAGGGTTAGGGAACATACACAGGTGCAACAACGTACTGTAACGGAGCAGATTCGATGACGAACGAGCTTCTGGTAGGTTGACTAAAAAGTGGTCGAATCAAGGAACTCTACATTCAAAAGGCCAGTCGAGTAGTAGTGGGCGTGAGTAGAGAAAGTATCAATGAATCTAACCCGTATTTCGACAATTTACAACATTTGAAATGAACAGACTGAGCTTTGAGCGCATGGATTTACTTGAACATGTTACGAGAAAACTGAATCATAACCCACATTGGATTGCTTTGTCTAACGCGTGCTCAAAAGGCGGTGCATCACTGCAAACAGCGGAGCTGGCAGAACATCCACGGAGCACGCAACATCTGGCTGGATGTCAAGACCATACGAACTGTATAGTAATTCTGGCACACAGCCGATGGCGCTATTGCATCAAAGTTATCGCCTTCAGTGCGTGTGGCTCCCAATTCCTGCCATACTGGACACAGTTTGGGGCATCATGTCAAACGCGTCGCCATCCGTTACTCTCCTCATTCTCGGTGAAAAACTGCATCTCGGTGCACGGTTTGTGAACCGAAGAATTGAACTGAACGCAAAGTTAGTAAAAGTGGTGGGCTCGAGGTAGCTCCGTGATTAAGGAACTAGCTTATGAACCGGAAGGTCCGTGGTCCGAACCCAACCCCCCGGGCATCTCGACGGCTCCTGTCTAGGGCTTGGGCAACCTTGCCGTAGCCCATCCCTCCTTGGTAGCTAGGCCCCGAAAGGATGCCACAGTTGAACGGACTCTTGATTATTATGAAAATGGAAGCAAACCAAAATCATTTCGCGCCTCCAGTACACTTTCGAACATACTACTTCTGGAGCAAGTGGTGTGTAAATATTCTGAAAACCAGACTAGGCTATGGACTTTCCGCCATGGTGTACCATTAAGCTTACTCAGTGCATCGGTTTTTCAGACAACGTGGCAATAAATCGTGTATATTTTAACCGGTGACTTACTTATGGAACGAGCAAACGGACAGTCAGGAAACAGAAGCAATACGCTGGATTCATCGCAGTTCATGCGAACGACTCCTGCCTGTAACAAGTAAGAAAAGTGAATGAAAACAAGGGAGACAACGACCTGAGAAAACGGGGAGGGATGGCGTAAGTTATGCGCCTAACCCAGTTGCACAGCAGCGGGATACAAGAGAACACGAGTAGGAAAGTACAGATATAATCGGTCAGGAAAAGAGCGCACGGAAGCTTCGAATCTGAGTTGATCCTTGACGTTCTTTCAAAAGTGTATATCTCCTATTCTTTACGGCAGGTTACACATGTTGTATGGTAAAGCAGTCAATTGTCTCGGGGCTTTCCCAACTTCTGGTTCTTTGATAATGGAGTGAGCTCATTGCATACAACGCCAACCTCCTGTCTCGATCAAGCTCCATCAGGGCCCAATGTCGGTAGATGACTGTTTTAAATTGGATCCTGGAATCATCTTCCATATCTTATTGTGATGACCAGCTCAACAGCGTGAATCAAAGAAATTCCTAAATCTTGAAACAAAGTGCGTATAGACGTAATACACTACTCATAAGGTTGGTGGAAACTCTTCGATGACCCACGAAGAAGAACAAGATGAAAAAGAGACTCAGCTGGATCAGGACCAAATTGGTGTGTACATGAGCGTGTAAGTCGAAAGCATGTATACTTTTGCGAAATCCAAAGAAAATGTGCTTATGGAAGAGGCTTTGAGTACGATTATGAATGACCGGTGGATTTGAGTAAAGTTCGAGTAACGATGACGTTGTCAGAAATCAGCTGTGTGGACCGATGTCCACTCGATTAGGAAGAGGATTACCTGTCAACTAGGTCACAATCAAATTTTTATCTGAATCTAAGCCCATGACCAATTCACCTTGGTTACGGTTTGGCGAACTTTCATACTACTACCAAGTAGTACAAAGTCTCGCAATCTCGGCACTTGGGCGAAGTATGACCCGTTCGGATGGTTTATAGAAAAATGGTTGATGGTGAACAGATGATACCGACCAATTAGATCTCAAATACCTCCTCTGATAAGTTGGTTTGTAAAATGCGGATATCTCCCAAGGTTTACTAACTCGAAACGTACTGTGCAGATATTGTCGGAAATATTTTCGTATTCGTTTACACAAACCAAGGCGCCAAACTATAAAAACCTGATGAAGAACATCACAACTCCACGTAATCCATGGTCAGTCAGTTTTGAGAAAAAAATGAAATAGCATCAAGTAGATGTGCGATCGGGTCCCCAAGTGCCCAAGGTCCTCACTGAGACTCAACTATTTGATGGGTATAAAGAGATCGGACACGTCGCCCGTTAGATCATCAGTCCTTCGACAAGTTTGAGCAGCCACCGGTCTAACCAACTGCTAACTTTTTCAAACAACGTCATGATTGCCGGTGTGAGTGGCTTACCTAAACGGTCAGTCCTGAAAGGGGAACAAACAAATAACCAACAATGGGGTGGACATTCTACCAGGAGTTGACCATGAAGTACCACTGAAAGCTTAACTGCACTAGGATATGGGACCTTCGGGATCAGACAGTAGCCTTACAGTAAACAGCCAGAAATGATTCCCAGTACAGCATTTGCTACCTCTCCGGTGCTCCGCGTGGATCAACGGCCATTCAGAACAACCATTAGCGGTTTAAGTCGTATATCGACCGCATTGGATAGAAATTCGGCCAACGCGGTCAAGCGCTGAGCTACAGGAGTGTGCCGACGGTTTGACACTGACCTTTTCTGACAGTTTTTTTCCCTGAAGAAGGCACATCCGGGGACGGGATAGTTCAATGGTTATAGCCCGAATTTACTGACCAAAAGGTCCGTGGTTCAAACCCGACCTCTGCCTCTAGACTTCCCTTGTCTAGGCTTGGGCAACCTGCCAGTATCCTAGCCCTCGTGCTTCCTTTGGGTGGCATGGCAGCTAGGCACCGAAAAGGTATTACAGCTGAACCATTTTTTCTGAGGAAGGCATCATCGCTCTTCCACAAACACGTCTATTCTGGCCGTCATGCTCTTATCGTAGAGAATAAAAAGAATGTACCTCAGGACCGCCTCGTGTTACGGTTAATTTTAGTACGAGGGTTCAGTGCACTTCGTCCCACCACTTCTCTTTGATCTTCTTGTCATATTTGCACTTTATGGAACAGAGCACCTTAAAGCACTAACATCTGGCGCCAGCTATTGATCAGGAGTCCTTTGAAGAGAGAAAGTGCTACGATAAAATATCACCAGACAATGGTTAGACAGAATTCCACACGGATCCCGCTTTACCGCTCGTAGTAAGGTGCTGCTACGGCCGAGAAGCCTATCCCACGCAAAAATGGCCAAAGTTTGGGACGCTTGCCGGTCCGGCATCAAGCCGAGATCTGATTGGTCGAAAGTCCGGACTCAACAGCCAATCATAACCTAGTATTGGTCCAATGCCGGTTGCTAATGTTGCATCCAGAAGGCGTCAGAATTTCCAGAAAGTTGTCGCCGCTTACACTCCATACATGAAGCGCTGTAAAAGTGTTCTTGACTTCGTTTTGGGCGTTAATATACCTTTGGTGTTTGTGTTGACGTGAACGCTAGCCTGACCGGGAACAAGCTGGGAAAAAAAACGTTACTATTGCAATCAGAGATGAACTTTCAGTTTGTAAATGAGAAAAGCACGCTGCTAACTTACCAATGCTTTGTCAGCCAATACTTGGCACAGCTGTGACATTTCTGTCCGCTGCCCGCCCGCGTCGTGCAGGGTGAGATGGAAATAGTTACCACGGTAACCGGCAAACGGGCTCGAATCACACTGCAATGAAGAGGCTGTGGTACTATTCAGCCGTGGGAGACACCATTCCTGATCACGAGGTATGGAGACTAGAACAGGGGGACCATTGGGATCTGGCGGTTTCGTAGGCCATGGTGTTAAGCCAGCCAACTCGTAGTGCAGCGCAGCATGTGAAATTAGTCGAGAGATATGGAGACATGGCTGAAGACTAGAGATGAAAAATGGGCACGAGAAATGAAGGCTGATAGCCCCGGACAACGAAAAATTATTGCTGACACAGTTAGCATTCATCCATCGAGTTGGGATGGGGAAAAGTTTCCATACGGCTTTAGGCAGAGTGTATTTTCAACGAATCTGTCCCTGTGAAAGGCCAGCTGGAGCAGGAAATCAATATAGGGTTCCGCATCATGTTCAAGTTATTGGCACTTGGATGCTTGCAAACGTATGACATAAATCGGACCATCACTGTGTCAAAATATTGGTAATCGACCGGGTGGCCATTGATCTGTTCGCCTGGAGGTTCGCAAACGTTTCGTCCACAGTCTAGAGGACATAGTGCGGAGTGGGTACATTATCGCTACCCGCTTGCGTTTATATAGCTTTCAAAGAGTACCCGATATGTTATCACGTGATTGGCTGGTTCGTACGTACATTTCTTGTGACCTTATTGGCTCGTCCACAATCTGCGTTGTGTTGTGGTCGGCACTTCTCGTACTCCATCGGTTTATCGGACAGCTTTTCCTAGAAGTCTCTAGGTCCGCGTTCAAAGCAGCCTGTTCCACGTTTGTGTTGCGTTTTGGTCTGTTCCCCATTAATTTGAAATCACCACAACGACCAATCAAATTGAGCAATGACCCAATCAACTACGCACTGACGATGCCTCCCCGACTGGGACCGAAACGTTTGGAAGTAAACTGCCAAGTTCGGCGAAGAGATCAACGGCCATCTGACCAAACACCCATAAATTGGGTCGCCAAGATACCACACAAGGTAGAAAGTGAAATACCGTCAACAACGATCAAAAATAGTGGGTCAAAGCTCAGTACGTTTGCATAGAAATAGTCACACTGAAAGACGGAATAGAAAAGGATTGACTTTTTGGTTCATTTGCGTTGGTGTTTGGTTTGCTCTGGCCTCGAGTTCAAGGTTCTTTCATATTCATGCTAATTTTATTCAACCTCGCTAGGATAACCTCCAAATCCGGTTAGGAATGAAAACTGTGTAATGACCTCACTGGTGTTGTTAGTGGTCCCTAACTGCTATTTTACCTTGTAAGCGTGTGGCGATTTACGTATGAAGTTCAACTGCGTTTGTGTGCGAGCAGCCGCTGTAGCCCAGTCTATGATGAACTATTCCACCGTTTTTCAGGATACAGGGTCTTTGAACCGTTGGATATTTTGCTCAGAATTAGATGACTCAACCGCCCGAATCACCAAAACGGTGAACAGTGACATCGTGGGATGAGCGAATATACAAACTAGCTTGTACTTTGAGTGTGTGAGTGAGTTGAGT